CTTAGTTATATTTACTGACACCCTGAAACAACTTTAGGTCATCTTGGAACTTTCAGCTCGTTTAATAACGGAGAAATTAATTTATTTAAACTTAAAAACGACGTTTTTAAATTAGGGGTCGAAAGTGTACTCCGCTAATTTCTAACAGCTTAGTTATATTCACTGACACCCTGAAACAACTTTAGGTCATCTTGGAACTTTCAGCTCGTTTAATAACGGAGAAATTAATTTATTTACACTTAAAACGATGTTTTCAAATTGGGGGTTGAAAGTGTACCCCGCTAATTTCTAACAACTAAGTTATATTTACTGACACCCTGAAACAACTTTAGGTCATCTTGGAACTTTCAGCTCGTTTAATAACGGAGAAATTAATTTATTTAAACTTAAAAACGACGTTTTTAAATTAGGGGTCGAAAGTGTACTCCGCTAATTTCTAACAGCTTAGTTATATTCACTGACACCCTGAAACAACTTTAGGTCATTTTGGAACTTTCAGCTCGTTTAATAACGGAGAAATTAATTTTTCAAAAAACTTTTTAAGAGGGGGTTGAAGCTGCACTCCTAGTCATATTCTTTTCGCCTCATAAAAACTTGAAAACATTTTAGTTTTGTCAGTTCGTTTAACAATTTTACATTTAAAGGAAAGCCTAAAACAAAAATAATCTTACCTTTCAGTAATGTGGTTGGAAAATACTATAAATGACGCAGTAAACGCCATCTGCAGCACGATGCTACATTTTAGGATTACGTATGCTGATGAGATCCGAAAAGATCGAAATCGCGATCCGCGTCTGGCAGTTTCGACAGAATACAGACCACTTCGATTTATTTTATGTAATGTGGATGGTTTGGAAAAATTAATTCTGGAATAATAACGGTGTGGATACATTTAAATAGATTATTTATTTAAAATCCAAATATTTCATTGCTTACTAATTTCGACTCATACTGTAACGTGTCTATTTTTAGGATGATTTTAATTTAACATAAAATTCTACTTTTAAATAATGATTTTCCGCACTCCGTATAGGCAGCCCAAAATACTGCAAAGGATTCTTATTGTCAGTTCAACAGTAACTGTCTTAATTCAATTATTAAAAGCTCCCTTTTTAAAAAAGAGGGTTAAAACATTATTTATAGTATGTTTTAGATAAATAGTTTCACTCTGTCCACCCAGCACTACTCAATTACATATTAGTACCTTCACTTCATTTCGTAAATAAGAAATAAAAACGACATCATTAAACTGAGGGTTGATATGCACCCTGGTAATTTCTAACAGTACCGTTCTATTCATTCATGCTTCCGAACAACGTCAATTTATTTTGATACAATCAGCTCCTTTTATAAGGAAGAAATTAACTTATTCATAATTAAAGACGACGTTTTTAAATTGGGGGTTGAAAGTGTACCCCGCTAATTTCTAACAACTTAGTTATATTCACTGACACCCTGAAACTAACTTTAGGTCATTTTGGAACTTTCAGCTCGTTTAATAAGGGAGAAATTAATTTATTTAAACTTAAAAACGACGTTTTTAAATTAGGGGTCGAAAGTGTACTCCGCTAATTTCTAACAGCTTAGTTATATTCACTGACACCCTGAAACAACTTTAGGTCATTTTGGAACTTTCAGCTCGTTTAATAACNTTACCTTGCTAATGTATTGTGGATGATTTGGAAAAAATAATTCTGGAATAATAACGGTGTAGTGTCCAAAATGCAGTCCGACTCTCATCATTTTTAATAATGAAAAATTTAATTGAGAAATAAATAGCAGAATTTTCTCAAATAACGGTAACTAAGTTTTTTGGAATCATTTTTAACTATAAAACCTTTCTTCATCATAAATCGTATAAAAATATCATAATATATGTTACACAACATAGAAATCTCAGATTAGAAAAAAGTAATTCATCCATTTACAAATTTATATCAACGTTTTTAGTGTAGTGAAATTATTATTTTCTTAAATTACTTACGTACCAAATAAATTTAAATAGATTATTTTATTATCGAAAAATTTAGTTGCTTACAAATTACGACTCACAGTGTAACATTTTTATTTTTACCTAGACTACATCGCACTTGTTTAATTTTGGACGAACGTACCTAGCACGATAATTTGAATCTTAAATAGCTATATAATTTTAACAATTACTGAAATTTCCACGCTCTTCATATAGACAACCCACTGTACCGCGCAGTATTCTCGTCGTCAGCCCAGCAATTGCTATACTAAATGCTTCTAAAGGACTCTCTTTTCAAAAACAGGGTTTAAACTATTCACCAGAAACTTTAAGCCACATATTTTTCAATGTACTAATTTAAGTTAGTGACCACCCACCACTCTATAATATTTTGATACTTTCAGTTTGTTTCATAAGGGAGAAATTAATTAACAGAGAAATAAAAGTGACGTTTCTAAATTGGGGGTTGAGAGTAAACCCTGATAATTTCCTACTGTAGAATTATTCTCCACAGTGCCCCAGAAGAACTTTAGTAGATTTTATTGCTTTCAGTTTATTTAATAAGGGAGAAATCAATTTAATAAGAAATAAAAACGACGTCCCTTAATTGGGGGTTGAGAGCACAGCCTGATAATTTTCAACAACAGAA